AACCCCCAATCTGGATTTGTGCATAATTTGACTTCAGTACATACAGTTTATGCCAAAAGATTTTACTCACAAGGAATTTGAGAAGCAGCAATAAGCAACACAGCACAGAAGGCTCCATCTCCAGCGTATACTCATTAGATTACAGCAAATAATTCAAGCCATTTTCTGCATTCACACTGAAAACTGCACTCGTTTCCTCAGCTGACTGTCTCTTCTGGGTTCTGTTCTAGTGCTCAAAGTTGCTGCCATGAAAGTGAACATTAATTTAACCCCCAAATGAAATTATTCACAAGCAGTGATTTTCGATTCATCATGGGCAGTAGCTAGGTGTCACTGCAATCAAAGAAAGTAAGCACGTACCTCAGGTCTTCGGTATTCAAACAGGAATGAGTCTATGGCTTGTGAACCATTAACACAGGTGGGACCCCATCTGTGATAGCCTATTGGAATGAGGGAAGTGAGACAAAGAGAGAACTAGAACCTGATCATGCACATCGATGCTGCTGGAAATCTTCCTTGTGATGCCCATTCACACTTACCACACCCACACACTTCTGTAAAACCAGGGGAAGATGTGCGAGGAAGAGTGCACCAGCAGAATGGCAGGGGACTGAACCAGTGTGAAGATCTTCCCCAGGTCCCATCACACATCTTTCTGAGTGCTGCATGAGGTAAGTCAGCAGGCTAAAATTATTTAGGCTACCAGTCCTAATGTACCCCTTTCCTACCTGGTATCACAACTTGGCCGTACATACTCCTCAGGAAAAGCTGCCATCTGTCTATCTGTTTTGCTTCCACACTTCAGGCACAGCAGAGTTGCACCAACTGAAAAGAATTTTTTTTCTGGTGTGATAACATTAAGGCTACAGGCGATCAACCTAAATTCCTCCCCCAGAAACTCCACGCTGTCTCCAAACCCAGTAAATACCCAAGACCAAGGCCTGCATTTATGCATGTTTTTACAGCTGCTACGTGTCCTCAAACATGTTACATAAATAAATCATACTATGCTATGCTATATGCTAAGGTGTGCAACAGAGCAGGGCAATTTGCTGCAGGTGAGAGATGCTCATTAAAGGCAATTAATAAACACTATGTGTGCACTGAAGGGCACAGGAGCTAATTATCAGAAGACATTGTATACAAGTAATGCTTACAGCTATGAAACCGAGGCACTCTTCATGTGAAATCTCACGGAGATAGGGGAATGACATAAATCAGGAGAATGATCTAAGCCAAGTGACAGCTACAGACAAAGCGCTCCTAAAATTAATGAACCCCACCAACTGTCCTCACTGTGGTTATTGGACTTCTCTGTTAGCCAGACTTCATGAGGCACCCTAGGATGGGACCGGCAATTTCCTTTAAAGAGTCAGCACGCTGGCACCACAGGAGAGCCCCGTGTGCTGGAGGTCACAGGTGCAGGGCTGGCACCAGGCTGCCAGTGCAAAGCTGCCGGGCATCGCAGAAGGGTTACACGGGCCAGACCCCCTCACAATTTACATCCTGATCAGTTTTCTTTCAGTCACAGAATCATTAAGGTTGGAAAAGACCTCTAAGGTCACCGAAGTCCTCCAGGACTTTCAGAATTCCGCAAGGAAACAGTAAGGAAGATGGAATTTTTACAGGCAAACTCTACTCATCCCTTCAGTTTACTTGAAGAATATTTGTTAAACGCTTGCAGAATAAAAGACATTTTCCCACATGAAGTGAAAATGGCAAACAAAAATGTTTATTGGTCTCATATAATGACAGAGCAATGGTATGTAAAAGTATTGTATTTGAAGGGAAATAAACTCTGCTTGTTTATCATCAATGACTGCAATTATGTTGTCAAGTGATAGATGAGTGTTTTGATTTCTTCTTCCTGCTGTCTTTTTACTTCCAACTTATCTTGTAAGCTTGACACTGTTTATTCATGTACTACTACAGAACCACTGAGAGGGGTTATTATTGAAGAGAATTTATTTTTCAGAGCAGTCATGCCATGAAGCCACAGATACAGCTAAAGCTTAACCCTACATCCTCCTCCAAAGGAGCACGTTAGTGATGTTAAAAACATCCCACTAACCTAAACAAACAGAACAGCCTAAGGAGGGGGTACCGAGCTCCTGGACGTGCAAACCCCAGCTCAGTGCCTCACCCACAGCACAAGAAGGACACAGAACTCACTGCTAGAGCGAGTGCAGAGAAAGGCCACAAAGATGGTTAGAGGGCTGGAGCACTTCTCCTATGGAGACGGGCTGAGAGAGCTGGGGTTGTTCAGCCTGAAGAAGAGAAGTCTCTGGGGAGACCTCACTGCAGTCTTCACAAGTTATGGCAGTGGTAGTAGAGCTTACCAACAATTACTTCCTCAGGCAGCAGAACAGACTGCAACATGGGTAGGACATTGTCCTACAGGATTCAGACTCCTGGCTACATGTTCAACTCCTTCTTCATTAATAATCTACAGGTAATATGAAATAAGAATTTATTTTTGTTGCTGTTGTTGTTTGCCTGGGCAAATGTTGCGTGACAGCTCTAAACTGTCATTACTCAAGACATAGCAACAAAACACACAGATATCTACTTGCAACAGAGCCCTTAGTTTGCCTTTTCAGTAAAATCAACACATCCTTTTACATGAGAAACTGCTGGCTTATCTGAGACACGAGGACCTGATATTTGCCTAATTTTGCCTGCTTTTATTTGACTCTTAAAAGCACACCTGCTCAATTAGCCACAACCTTCAGCCGCATTGAAGCAGAATACTCAGCTCCAGCACCTTTGATAATGTCTAAAAAATCAAGCACTCTTATCCAAAAGCAAATTTGTAGGTGGGCTTAAAGCATTTGGTGCCATTACAATTTTGCTCCTTGAAATAAATTCAGCCTGCCTTTCTCCTGCTCCAAGTCCCTTTATTAGTCACAAAAGCAGTAAACAGAGATGGGGAGTATAAGGAAAATTAAATACAAAACACCATAAGCCTTTCAGTGCCTGATGGAAGAAAGGGTCTAATGGATGTTTTTGTTCCAGTCTATACTGCACTACTCTGAGCTTACATCAACAGATCTTATCCATCTCACTGCATTTGCTCTACTGAAAATACTTACCTTTGGGACATCAGTCTTTACTTGAGCTATGACAGCTCATCTTTGGTGTTCAAGCACTCTTGATAAACAAAGATGAAAAAGGTTTCACTTGCACACCTCAACAAAAAAAGAGACCTGAATAAGCAGCATCTGGAAAGATCATATGGCTCACAACCACCATGCATTTCAAAAGCAAAACTGCAACGACTACTCTGATAGCATACAGGTTTCAACAGGGATTTTAGAACTGAACAAAGGCAAGGCAACGTTAAGTAGAGAATTCCCTGCATGACGGCAGTCATACCCTAGATAAGGGGGGATTCATCACAATTTAGATTCATCACAATTAATCTAGAGTAACATGATCAGATCATTGGAATGTCACTGTTTATGCCAAAATGGGAGAAGTTATTCTCTTACCAAAGAAAATGGAATTAAAGTAGGTTGTCAGTTTTCCCCTCACACTGAAATAATACCAGATACAGAGCTCACCTTAATTTACTTTTATTAACCTGTGGCTCCCTTTGAGTTCACATTTGATTCTTTGGACTTAGCAAGGCATACGCTGAAAGCAAACCCAAAATGCAACTAGTCACAGGAGAGGATCCCACATCCAGGATATCCTGGCTGAGAAACTAAATATGAAAAGGTATCTCTGTATGGTCACCTCTGTCATGGCCCAGGATCAATTACCAAGTAAAACAAAAAACCAACAACAACGCTCCTCAAGAAAAGCTTATGTGTGGCAGAATTAGCCCCTAAACCAGAGCAGCAGAACAGTGGGCTACATATCAGGACACTCCCTGATTTATGTGTGTTCCACAGCAAGCAAACCTGAAAAGCTGTAACTTTTAAAATCTGTTTTGCAACCAGGAAATTGAAAACTAATCTCCTCAGGAAACACAAACTATCTGGAACAGGTGAGAAGTGTCACTCACTACCAGAATCACAGCCGAAACACAACACCCCACTTGGTATTTGCTACCTGCTTTTTGCATCGTGTCTGCTGTTTCTTCAGCATTCTGGTGCACTTATTTGAATCACATTTTATATTCAACTGAATTGAGCAAAGAGGATACCCCACAATGCAGATATACACAGTTCATATTTCCATACCACAGTCTCTGACGATCGCTCCCAATCTACTACAAGATGGCATGCGGTTTCTTCAAGCACTCACAAAAAAAAAAAATCAAAATATCTTCAGTGATTGGAAGTCACCACACGGACTTTCAATTTGGATAGTATTAGTAAGGTCTTAAGAGATCTCATTTACTTTAGGAATTTGATGTCTTGTGATGAAGCTGCAAAGATAAGTAGACAGCATTGCCACAGTATTAATGGTAACTTGTCTGCAAGTTCTTGAACTACTGTAGGACTTGTAAGTGCTCGGATGGTACTGACAGGCAGGTAGTTACTTCTGTAGGTGAGAGGATTTACAGTGTTCAAAAGATCAAACTTATAAATAGTAAATCATGCAAGATGAAAAATAAAAGGAGCGCAATGATTCCAGCTACTACTGAAAGGATGGGTAGAAGAAAAACGAGCACTATCATAAAGACAAATCCCTCACATTTTACCTGCATTCTTAGTAATAGCTCTCCTGTAACAGCTTAAGAATCCAATACAGAGAAAATGCTAGGTGTGGAGATATTTCTCCAGAGAGTATTCAAGGGACCCTCTGCTAAGATCAGAACAAGCAGTTAGCAAAGGCGACAAACAGGTGGCCACTGCAGCCTTAGTGCTGCTTTGTTACTGAACGTTTCCAAACCAAACACCCCCTCACCCTACACTTGGCCAGCACCACCCTCCCTCTAGAAAATTTATTGGGTATCTGCTACAATTAACACAACGTTAAAGCAAAATAAGAAGAAGAGCTCTGGAGAAAAGAAGGAAGCAGAACAAGCTTGTGCTGCTGCAGAGCAACGAATTTTCTTGTTTTATTTTGGATTATTCTACACAGATCTCCCCCCCCCCCCAGATGCCAAGGCAGATTTGGAACCTTTTTTGATTGATCAGAGTTGCCCAGAATACTTTACATAAGAAAGAAACTGAGTTTGTTAGCATTTAGAAAATGAACTGGAACCATCTCAAAACAACAGTTTTTCAGAAATGTGTAAGTTTTCACAGCCTGAGGCAAAGGACAAAAGCTCACTGAAGACACACTGTTTGGTGTGCTTTACAACCTGTCCCTCAGATTCACCGCTTGCTTTAAGTACAGCTTTGAAGTTGACAGTGGGAAATCCGATTACCTGACCAAAATGGCAATATCTGAAGTGTTTAAGTCAGTTGGCCAGACTGCAATTCATAGGTTTTCTTTCAGACAGAATTGCAAAGTTCATGAAAATAACAAAATAGTGTTTTCAAAGATGAGAAGAACATTATGTATATGTGATAGATGGATCCGTGAACTGGAAAATTTCCTCATCAAAAAGGTCTTCTGGTAGTTTTTCATCTCCATCAGCAAAAAACGTAGGGAACGGAGGGTTTTTATTGTATTCCTTGCATGTAGGCAATTTGCTGTCTCTGACCTAAAAAGCAGGAAGGGGAAGGGTAGGGTTAATAAATCTTACAGAAGACTTTCAGACAATGATACACTAGAAATTAAAGAACTCAGCCTGCATGCATAAGAAAAAACCCAGGAGCATTCACACTGCACTTGTTTAAAGAATTCCATGTATAATCATCATCTACTTTAACACCAACCCCAGCTATTGAATTTAACATTTTGTACCCATCCTTGAGGAGTTTTTTAAAAACCAACAAAACTAAATAAAAACAAAACAAAAAGACTTTGTTGTTACAGCGAGAGAATCAAGACCTACTCTCATGAATTCATTGCTCAATATTTTAAAATGTTATTAAAGTAAAAATATGGCTTGTTTGAACTGTGCTCGTATCCCACAGTACTTCCCTACGTGACACACCAAGTTTTACCATGCAGTGTAATCACCTCTTCAACAACCAAGACACGCATCTGTATGTATGATGCAAACTAATTATGGCAGCTAATTTTGCAAAGATATGTGCATGTGCTGTACTCAGTTCCTCTGGCTACTGCACAGCTATTCAGTGCCTGCTGAATTAAGCATCTAAAATACTTCACCCAGGAATCAGTACCCGAGTTTGTCGAACACGAGCCTTTCAGACAGTTCATTTCCAAGAACTGTGGCGCCACAGAGAAATTACTTTCCTTTACTGACCTCTCTACATGTGGAAAGATTTAAAATCTAGCCCCTGGAACTCCAATCTCTGAAGAAAATTAGTAGCTAGAATTATCAGCAAAAAGCAGTTTGTCTGCAGTAGCAGATAGAAAGCTGGTATCTCTGAAGAGAAAAAAAGAGCTACAAATACTTGAGCAATGAAATTTTACTTAAAATTAAATTCTTCGTTTCTGTACTGTTACAAATGATCTTCCTTGCAGGCTGTAATAATCCCTTTCAGCTGCTATACTCAAGTGGATTAAAAAAAAAGTACAAATAGATTACACAAAAATTTTACTACAGAGAAGATAAGCTCTTCCTCTTAGTTTTTTAGTGGGTTTTTAAAAAACAGGAAGCTTGTTTTTACTTGGTGGGACAAAAACATAGGACAATTATGATTTATGCAAAAAATTAAATAAAACAATTTTATGCCCACTGGAAGCTCTGTTTTGACAACACTCTATTTACCAGATTCATATCTGCTATTACTTGAGCCTTTCTCACAGTCCATAAGGATTCCTGCAGATGAAGTGTACAATAAATTCGATGTTCCAGCAGTTTTCTAAGTGCAGGCTTGATAAACAAAAGAAAACTTTTTACTAAGAATGAGGAGATGAAAGGCTCAACACGTTGTACTGGTTAGCATGGCTAAGCAGCTTTTCAAATAGATCATCCCTCTTCTACCAGACACCTCCCTAGAAAAGTGTTCTCTATTCACTTGGAACTGTCACACAGAACTACTTAAGTACCTCCAGTTCCCAATTTACATTACATAGCTAGATGGAATAAATTTTGAGGTCCAAGTCTGAAGACCTTTACTACAACGGTTCCAGCAGCAGTGAGTTCAGAAGAAAGGCAGACAGCTTCAACAGTGCCACCTGAAGGATGGCACCTTCAGAGATATCACCCTTCCCTTTCAATAAGTTGTGGCTGTTTCTTTTACTATATGAAAACATGTTATAGTAACTTCACAAATTATATCTTTTATTTCCCTTGCCCCTTTCTCTTTTACTCTCTAATCCTATGACAAAACATAAGCCTTCTCTGTCAACAGCAAACCGCCCCGCGGTCTCTTTGTCAGTAAGTATTAAGAACATTAGAATAAATGATTTTATTTATGTTAACTTATTAATTTCATATACATATTGTATTAAAATGTTTTTCATGTCTACTTTCTGTCACTTTTGACGATTTTCATCATGAAATAATATGTGTTGCTACATACAGGTTGTGCCATTACAGGCAGTTTTGGACCTGGAAAATGAAAGGAATCGAAGTGTTTGTTTTTCTCCTTTTTTCCCCCCTCCCTTTCTTCTTAAAACAACTTCTTATGACAGGATTTCGAAGCAAGACATCTGCTCTCAACTGAAGGCAAATCCAACAGTCTAATTTTAGTCCTGCATTAGTTTACCTAAATAAATGTAAGATTTCTGTTCAGACTTAACATTACATTAATGGCATATTGACGTCAAGGGACATTTTGGAGATAGTGCCTCTTGTGTGATAAGGAGAATTCTTAAAATAGTTTAAATATTCTCATGAAGTATTTTCAACAAACCATTGTTGCTTTCACAGGAGTACAGTACTGTTGCACTTTACCCCTTCCAAACTCCTCAGAAGCTTGACAGATCCCAGAAGCACAGGCCACATCTGATGTTAAAATGGTTTTCTTCTGATATGCTTTTTCCTCTGACTAGTATAATTGACACAGTATTTCTTTTGACTGGTGAAAACTACTGCTCTTTTTCCATCTTCTTCTACATTCATTGCTTTTAAATGATATTAAAAAGAAAACAAGCACTATCTCGCAGCATCACTACCAAACTGAACGAACATCCCTCTTTCTCCCTTGTAAATTTCAAGAATTAGATATTATTATTACCAGCTATTACCATTATTATTCCTATTAAAAGGAAGAACTCGAGTTCATTTTACATCTGAAAGTACTGATTAGCAACTTCAAACACAGTATGAATTACCTGTCCTCTCAAGAGAATTACTGAATGATTCCCTTCACATTTATGAAGGGTTCAGCCTAACAAAGGTTTCCTGTATCTAACACCTCAGATTCCTGCACAGTAACTTCACAACAGTATAAAAGGGGTCCAGTGGCATGCAGCAGCAAGAGCCGCACTTGTTTGTCTAAGCATGTACACAGTTAAGAAGTACAGGTGGCCCAGCACAGCTCTTCTTGTTCTCCTAGTAATATCCAGAGAACAGCCCTAATAAAGGAATAAGTTTTCATGCTCTGTGTTACTAAAATCCAGTGAATTTAGCTCTCAGCCACAGAAGGAATCAGGCTGATAGTCCAACTGGTTATTACAATCCATAAAAGCATTCACTGTATAATTCAATATACCATAAATGCTTGGCTTACTCAACTGCTGTATTAATAGTACTGTATATTATAATACACTATACTACAGACAGATGATACATAGTGTATATACATTACAGTGTATTCTCTGTCAAGTCTTTTTATTAATAAAAATACCAGAGAAAGCTGAAATTGGAGTTGCTTGGGATTTTGTAACTAAATCTTTAGTACAGTCATAAAGGGTTTTGCAGATTATTAACAGACTGCACATATGCATGTCCCCCACACTGACGGCATAATGGGTAGCATAAACACACACAAATTTAGAAATCTATGACCACAAAAGACTCCATTTGGTCTTAAAACAAGTGCCAAAAGTTTAATGCTGAAGTCACAACTCACAGCTGTAGTTTAACAGGGCTTCAGGCTGTGTAAGCAACCACAGCAAAGAATACAAGTTGTTTGCTCAACAGAAAGGTGTGCTTAAATATAAAAAAAGATCAGAAATATTCTCCTCAGGTGTCATACTCATAGCTCAGATTCTGTATTACTTTTGAACCTAGACAGAAAATTTAATGCAAAACCACATCCATTTCTGACCAGCCTTATTTTGTCTTAAAAAAACCCCAACAAAACAAAACCCCCTCAAACCTCCACACAACTCTATCATGGAACACAAGGTACAGGACAGGGAACATGAAAGAACTGAAGGTATTGCACTATTCCTGTGTGTCCTCTGCTTGAGCATAGTATACCCAACTCAGGCATGACCAGCTAGAAACACAACACAGTAATACTGGAAAGTGTGATACCAAATAAATAGGGTACAAATCCACTACAGACTTTTCTTAAAATAAAAAAGCTGAATAAAAAAGCAGTCTCAGGACTTAAGTTATTAGCTCAAGCAGAACATTATAAAGGAACTGTATACTTCAATTTAACTCAGGTCTAGCATACAAAAAGGCCAGTTCAGTATCTAACCTGCTAAGTGACTCTTATGGGTTACAAGATTTGCCAGAATTTCGGCTTTCACTACAAGTGATCTACTCAAAGTGGTCAACACTGAATGTCCTAAGAAACAGTGCCTTGAAACTAGGACAGTTATAAAACATTATCAAAGATAAACTGTAGCACCTGGTGGTGAAGTGGTTAAAGCACAGCGCTCTGAACGCTGAGACCCGGGTTCGAGTCCCGGTCGGGGCCCCTCCCCGGGCAGATGGAGCTCATTAGCCCTGTAAGGCAATCCATCTACGTCCTGAGGACCTCGCTGCCACCGTCCAAGCTCGCTTGGCCCCGGCAGATGAACCTCAGGATTAAAGGGTGGGCTCAGTTCCGCGCACACTGTGTCTCACCTAAAAAATCCAACGCGCAGGCTGGAAGGTGTAAAGACCTTCCCTGGTTCTTCGTTCACGAAGGGACTGGCCATACATATACATATATACAATATACCTTACTACAGCACACTCTCCATTACAAAGCAAAAAAACTACTTAAAAAGGGAACTAAATCTTTTGCTTCTCCCTTGAGTGACAGAAGAGAGAATTTTTGGTACTATACTTAGGAGATAAATCCAGAGCCATAAACTTTTGAAAGAAAAAACTATTACAGATGGGAACTATAGGCCCTGTGATCTAAGAAGATACACCAGAAAGAAAGAGGTGCTACCTGAGCTAGGCTATCTTGACAGGCACAATACACTAACTTACAAATGCTTTCTCTGCAATGGCACTCCTGTAACAGAAAGGTTCCATGTATTCTAGCACACTGCTAAAGTTTCTTAATTTTATTAGACCTTGAAATTGTGTAATAAATCCATGCTAAAGTAAGCTTCTCCCGTTGTTTCTCCAGCTGGCTAGAAACATTCCTTATGTCAGTTATTTACCTGCACGCTTCAGCACGCAGTATCAAATGAAAACTGACTTCTTATTAAACCAGAAATCCATCAATCCCAGTATTCTGCTGAAAATGAAACTTGAAAAATTTAAGTGCTTCATCTCTGTCTGAATACAGTGCTGATGCACTAAGTTTCCAAAAATACAACATACAAAATAAATATATGTTTTGAAGGTGCACTGTGGTTTTAATGGTTACCAAGCAACACAGAACACAAACGCTTTCCTCTTAGAAGCACATAAAGAGAAAAGTGTCATGCAATATTTCACTTCTTGTGAAAGGCAGACGGATTCAATTTCCCTAGACATTAGTCCTACTTAATTACAGGTAGGTATTTAGTGGAATGAATGGTAATTACAAATGCTAATATCTCATAATTCCTCTCCCCAACTACAGATGCAAACAAATATACAGCAATATATTGAAGTGTCTATAAGACAAGTAAGAAAACATTCTGGAAGAAAGGCATAAGACAAGCTAAAAACACCACAGATAAGTGCAGCAAGATTAAATGGAGAAAGAAAAAACCAGAAATTAAAGAACAGATACCAAATAGTATTGCTTTGCCTGATTTTATAATTAAAGCTTCTTCTACTCTTCAGCAATGTGTTCGAAAATATAAGTGAAAAAAATTATTTAATACATGTAACTCATATGGCTTATGCAAGAAAAAAACCCGCACAATGGATTCACCAGCTCAAGGAACTGGAATAAACTGTTTCTGAATACACACTGCCTCAAATCTCCAAATATGTGAGTGGAGACAATTTTTAGAAATCTATTTCTTAATAGCATTATTAAATGTCACGAAAGTTTGAGTCTGAAGCATTTTGGTAAAGATATTTCAAATATTTTATTACGTTAATCAAGGAGCTCTAAGGGAAGAAAAGCCTATTCTTCCCATGGATCCCTAACCCTCATTGATGGAATTAGCTACAAGTCTGAAATGCATTTGCCAAAATGTATACTTGAAATACCTGAACTTCTAAATTGTAGATAACTATGACTTGAAACATTTTAAATACAGGTAACCTACAGATAAAATGAATACAGATTCTGATCTTGTAGACATCCTGTATAAGGATTAGTAAAGCAGTCAGAAAAGTGCCTTGTGCCACTCAGTTAATACTGATGAACTAAGTTTACTGAAAAAAAGACCACAGATGAGCCATTTTAACTTTTGGTCTTAGGATAAAGTTCCAATCATCATCCATGGCGAGTGAACTGAACAGAAATGACTCCTGGATCTGGCAGGCACTTAAATGATATGCAGCAGACTGCCACAGCAGTCCAAGCCCATTATTCTCTTGACATTGCAGATGTCAACACGGTAGTTTTACTGCTTATACTCCATGGCTTGGCCCAGAAATCTCCTGTTAACAAGGCTGTTGACTATGGCAGTGCTGCTGCCTCAAGGATTTTTTTTAAGCTAACAGCAGGACTGCTTTCAGAACAAAACCAGTAAATCCAAGGTGTTAACGGGGCTGCTTCCCAGCCTAGGCAAGAGGAACAACTGAATAAAGAAAAAGAGAAGGTAGAAGAAAAAGGTGAAAGAAAGCATTAAAGAAAGCTCTTCTGCAAGAAGTGAGTGCAATATCTGATCAGCAAGGGGACAGTGATTTGTTTAAATGAGATCTTCACGGAGTACATAAGAATGTGTGGTATTAACACACACAGCTTTGCTTTTAAAAACCATTTATATTACAGGGGTTTAATAAATGTTTGCTTTCTTAACTCACTTAAAATCAGAAATAAAAAAAATAAATTTACTGAGTCTAGTTAGAATAAAAGTTATGATCTAGAAGAACTAGATACTGTGTTCAGAGTCTTGGTGGCTTCATAAACTGTTGTATTCTTACAGATAAAGCATCTGAAATATGTACTTGCATTTGCCACCAAGCAGGGCCACTGCAAATGTGGATTTTAACACCATGTCGAGGATAACAAGATGCACAATCTTTTGCAACAGTTAACTCCTACTTAAGAGTACTATTAAGAATTAAGAATACAGTTTGGGCATCAAATGTTTCTCAGTTTTTCAGCCACATTATGTTGTTTCTATACTTTTATTTAAAACTAACATCCTGCAACAGATTCCCACTTCTTTAAACCTCAGACAGTAACCAGGTCCTTGTCTTAGGATTTTTACAAATGGGACACAGTTGGAGAAGAGGTCATTTGGTCCAATATAAGGATGAAAAGCCAGCCAAGTTATAGTCTTAATTCTATATAATTGATGCCATGCCCAGTAATTTTGCAGTTATCCTGGAAACTACTTCTCATGGCCATCTGTTAACCAATTTTGACTACCTTGGAAAGGAAAAGGCTTGGGCTGGACATTACAACCGGAGCAGTTTGGAAATACTGCAGTCAATAAAAAAGGTCTTATTTTCAGTGAGAGAAACACAACAGTAAACTTCATTTTTCTGTGGGAAAAACACCTATTTGAAAGCTAGGGTTGCTGGAATTAAAGCCAATTAACTGCGGAGTTCTGATTCACAATTAGGAAATACGGAACAGAAACTGGATGTCGAACTAATTAAAAACATCTAAACTCGATGAACTCTGCAGCTTTTCAAAAATGGAATAATTTAAATCCCAGTAATACCTCTGAGGATTTAAAACTGTGTATCACATATACAGGTATATGTATATTAGAATCTTTATAATCATTCATAGCAAGGATGCTTGATAGCCTGTAATCTATTTAGTCAGAAAGGAAGAAACTTCCTCCAAGTAATTCGTGCTTGCAAATGTGTAGAATATACCTAATTAGAAAGAAAAATCTATTTTGAAAACAACTCTCAGAAGTGCTTTTCTTGCTTTGATGTGGATTATTTACATTGTAAGAACACTTGTTAGACTCTTCATTGTTTCAGTTTTTCACAGTCTTGAAACAACCTCCATAAACTTTGAAATTAATTCTGTAGACTGATACAGAAATTAACACTGACATATTTATACTGATTGCAAAGGGAACTCGGATCCTTATTGTAAATTCCTGCTGTCTCCTCCTGTACCTCAACTGCTCCTTGGAAAGGTTAACTGCTACTGCACATGGGAATGCTTGGAATAACCTCTAAAGCAGTGCCTGCTCTGTATTTGTGTTTCATTAATACAGCCCTTAAATAATACTCTGGAAATTTCACCAGCATGCTACTGGCTTGAGTCAGCATTCAAAAGGGATGCATGTAGCCTGGAGACACTCACCCAAGGGTTTCAGCAACTGTGCTGGTTTATCATAAGCTACGTGGGTGCACCATCCCAGTGCAAAGCTAAGAATGAGTCATTTAAAGTGAGTGTAACCCACTGCCCCTACTAATCACTCTCTTTCACAGAGCTGATTCTACCACCCTTTTAATTCAACAGTACAAGATGGCACTCTGAGGAAATGAAGATTGCATTCTACCAGTGTTTTTCCTTTTGTAAGAAGAGATTTGTAGAGAGTTCAGGAATCACTAATGTCAGTAAGTTGAAACTAGCAAACATACCTTCACCAGACAATTTGTGTGACCTGGAACAGAGCCATTTACATAAATAATGTCATGTACGGTGTTGATCCTCCACACCTAGGAGACAGAAAAAAAATAAAATCAGACATTGAGCTCTGTTTAAAGACTATTCCCACTTTTACAAACAGTAGTCCAGCAAAGCACAGACTGATTAATGAAGCGGTACTCTGGAGAAGAACATTCAGCACAGGCCTAAACTGCCACAAAATTCACTCACATGCCACTCTGAGCGCCAAACTTTCTCATGCAGGAGTCTGTAACAGTTATAAAGGGCTGGTGATCAGGCTATACTTGGTAAGGCAGTTCTTTGTTCAGCAAAAACCAACCAGAGCTCCTAAGTCTCTTTTTCCTCTAGCAGTAACAGCTGTTGAACCCCACAGGTGACAAAATCAAACAAATATCCTCATGAAAATATTACTGTGACCATTTGTCAATTTCTTAATTCAATGAGATGCTCAACTGAACACAACATTTTCTGCTGCAAAAAATTAGTTTCAGTTAACAGAGAATAGCAGCAGCAGACGTTTTTGCAAACTAGAGGTCAATTGGGTTTTTGTGCAAACTGCAGAGGATGCCCTCAGAGACGGAGAAAAGTAGCTTTAATAGCCCAGGAGCTGCTGCAGTTATGTACAAATCAGAATCTGGACAGAAACTATAATCCCCTTTTTGCAAATGACAGTGAAGGGTCGTGATCAAGTTAGGACTTCAGACAGCACCAACACAAGGCTACATGTCTGAGTCCATTGCTTGGCAATGCAACCACCCTATACACATTCTAGTTCATTTAGAACTCACCTTTAATCCAAAAGATGTCCTATAGATGTTACCCATTTTACCTGGCATTTTCTTTCCACGATAAACTTTGGAAGCTTTCTAGATAAAAACAAGGCCAAAAAAAAAAAAAAATCATGTTAACTGCAAGAGGAGCACTGGAGAAAATATGCTGATATTTCCAATGTTAAAAATATAATATTGAAAAAATCTAACCCAGATTAGCATTTTAAATACCTCCTGCTGGAGGTTAGGTATTACTCTACATGTTATCTGAAATACTTGACCTCAGTCACAAAATTGCTACATCTCCAGTTATATGAACAAAGAGATTCTAGCTTTGCTCAGTACTTAATGTATATAGATTCAGAGTAAAATCTGTACTCATTCATACTTGCACTTTGTGAAAAATCAAGAAAAGGTTTTTTTCCTAAGATTCCTGTCAACACAAATCTCTCATCTACATCACAGACCGCAGCAACTGGAAACTTGCCTGAACTACTTGTGGATGCTAACACAGAGCTCCAGAGCAGTCCTGCCCTGGAAGGCTGCCAAAATGAAGATATGCTGTAGCTTCCCTCCTCCCCCTAATCCATGATTTTCACACTGATGTAAATCAGATCTGTTTTAATGCATGTATTTTTGAGGAAGAAATTTTAATTTAATTCCATTCACTGCTGTTGCTTAGCTTCTGCATTCCATTTGTGACTGGCTGGGTATAAACCGGACTACAGAGGTGGAAAAAAAAGGCAGGAATAAGTGCAATAATTTTCAATTCTCCATTGTTATCAAGGGATTTGTATCCTGCACCTGTCAACATTAATAATGTTTGGAGTTTTTTTTAATTATTGTGAAAATCATGATTTCAGGAAATCAGCTACAATGCAGTTCTAGGGAAAGGACTCTGTACTGAAAAATCCTGGATTTCAAAAATGTCTGAAATGGTCAACACTAGATGGGAAAATACTAACAAGGCATCGGTTTTCCCCTATTGCATATTTTCATCTTGTTTCTTTTCCATCATGCCCATTTCCAATACTATTTTCCATTCTATATACTTTGTGACATTACATCCAGCTTTACTGCTTATGAAATCCTGATTTAAAGAAAAGAGAGGTTATTTTGTAATGATGAAAACCATCCATTAAAACAGCGTTCTGTGTTCAAATATTTACATTCTTCAGTGAAAACAAGTGCCAGGTGTAGAATTCTTTTTCCAGTTGAAACTGAAGGCTATAAATCAGTAATGCATGCTTTTACACTCTCAATTACTTTAACTTCATTCCCTGTTGCCCTTTTGCTTTGACTATTCTCTGAGCATTATTAATACTTTTCTAAATTTTATTTTAATTTCTCTAAGAAAATTACAGACAGTTCAGGTTCAGTACTGTGACTCAGTTGATCTTAAATAGTTTGCAAAAATTCCTCTTAGTTTGGTCTAAATAATGTACAGCCTTAATAGAACAAAGTTTAAAATTAATCTGCTCAAAGAGATTTTATACTAATATTATTAATAGTTTGAATCAAAAAAATATGACTCTGTACTCTGCTTAAAAATGTTTAGAAGCTTACAAAATTTTGGGAATTATTCCCTATAAGATGATGGGATTCAGTTCATTAAGCAGCTACACAAACCATGCAAGGTGATAAAAGCAAGAGGGGTTCCAAAGGACGGTACAATATCTGCAGTATAAAATAACAGGCAAATCCTTTCCAATCTATAAATGGTCTGATAAAAGCTTCTTAGATCTCTCTTTGAAGCATTAAGACTATTCCTCTCAGCTATGCTACAAAATATGACAATTTGCTCAGTCGAAATATGTGTGCTCACCAGCATTATAGAATACTCATAACCTGAGGTATAAGAGCACTGCTATCTGCATTGCTCATTACACAGGTTTCTGAACTTCCTTTGAAACAGCTGGGATTCTCTGCTACCACAGAGTAAATGTAGCAGCTAGCTATTGTGAAACTGTTCATTTTTAGTATGCAGCTCTAAAACCAGGAAATTTTTAAACAGGAAATAAGAATCCTCACATTAGTAGATATCGCTCCAGGTCTTCTGTGAGTTTTTGTCTGGCCGTGGCTCGCAGGCTGACCTTTAAATCCCCACCTTTTCATGACACCCTGAAATCCTTTACCAATTCTGAAAGCAAAAACAATTAAGAAAGAAACTTGGGTTAGCCAGACTTAAGGCTGTTATTCTAGCAATAATCAATAATTTCAGTCAGGCTCATGATCTTTTTACCTTTAGCAAAGCTCAGCAGAGAGGGGAATACAGTTAAAACAAAAATCTGTATTTTACACCACAAACATATTCTAGCACAATGTTTAAAGAACAAGAAGCACTAGGAGAGAGTCAAACAGGCAAAAGGACTAACACAAAATGCTTCTTGCTGTGATCATCCTCAAGAAATGTTACTGTAATGAAGCTTTCATCAAGTGGACACCAGAACAAACACCCTCCCAAAAAAACCAACCAAAAAACCCAAACCAAAAAAAGCAACCGTATAGTAGCATATACCAGAACTTAATGACAGGCCCTAAGCATCAAAAGAGGAAAGAGATGACTGCTTAGATTATGATAAAAATAAATGAAGAAACATTTTCCATACTACAATAAACTCATCTCTTGCAAACAGTTTTGTGTACAGTGAAAACACGTAACTCCCTTGACCCACACTTATCTAAACAAATAAGGTCTATAAAACAGTAACAAATAAAACATATTTTCAGAGTCCTTGCCCTTAATCTTTGAGGCACATGATAGTATTACTGGCTTTGGAGTTCTTTATTTATTGCAGGAACAGACTCAACAGGGAAACCCACCTTATCACTGCACAAAGGAAAAGCTGATTAAAGTGTGTTTAAACTGGCATTGTCTGTTTCCAAAAGGAAAAACCTGACCACAGGGTTTATGGCTGCACTGATTATTTAATTCATTTACAAGATGATCCTTTTCCTCCAATTTACAGAAATCCTTTCTCTGCTAATGCACTTTGCAACGTCACAGTCCTATTAGTTCAAGCATTAGAACCTTCCAGCCAAACACAGAAAAATAAACCCATGTATGAGCATGCATAGAGCACATTCTGCAGAAGCACTGCACTTTGCTGACTCCCCTGCTCAGCACTACCATGAAAAACTAGAGAAAATATACAAACATGGAAAACAACAACGTTCTTAAAAACTAAATTCTTTCCTCTTACCACTTGAGTATTTCTCCTCTAATTGCTGCCCTAGATGCCTTGAACTCCTCAAACTACAGTCAGAATCAGCCACAAAGACTCTCTAAAGCCACAGAATCATAAGGAAACAAGAGCTACTTAGAACCTAAGGATCAATCCCAGTTAAATTTGGCAAAGAAAAACGTGTCATTGTTTGAATTGAGTTATTGGTTAGAAGCTCCTCAATTTTTTTTTGCTCCTTACCTACAACTAAGAAAATGCTAAAATACAATTTAAGTAGTGCTATGTTCCTTTGGCTTGCCAGCTGGCCACTCATACAAGTGACTGTCACCAGCAAGACAGTCCTTCCAGGTCAGCAGACAGTGGTAGAACCTGAGGATACAAAGAGGGTCAGGGCCATGAGAGGAAGCTAAAGGAAGGCACCTCCACGAGGGAAGACCTTGGTTACTGGGAATCAGGAACACAAGACAGAAATCTAAAGGATGCAAGGCTTTGTAACACCAGTTTCCCACAGAATCAGCTCATCTTAAAAGCTTGCATTAGTAAACAGCAATAGCTGTAAAAAAAAAAGGTTTGAAAAATACATTTTAAGAGAGGTTTAAAACTTGTCTTTTTCTATGTCTGCATACAGCTAGGGGATCAAGAACTTTGAAATACATACAGAAACTAAGCTATAGGAAAACTTATACCTGTTCTGCCAAAATGCTATTTTTTTCTTTTAACCTATCTGTTACTGGCCATGTTTTCCAAGTAGACTACTTCTGGCATCTCTAGCTGGAAGATGAACTTACCAAAGCCTCCAAAGCCAACTGCAAGCAGGTTGCATAACAACAGCTGTGCAGTTACCAGAGCAAGCAGATCGAGGGCAAGATTAATTCTTTAGCTGCAAAAATGGCCTTGCAATTGAGAGAAAACCACACAACCTTAGAAAGCCACCATTTCAAAAGTAAACAGTACTGTCAACTTGAATCAAGAAGCACGATGTCATGAAACCACTTCAATATTTCATTCGGATTGCTCATTTTTAAACATCAACAATTTAGAATACTGTAAATTGTACTTAAAAATAAAATGCCTAATACTTACAAGAGATTTATTTTGAAAAAAAAAATGTTTAATACATCAAATGTTTTAAGATATCTTCAGAAAGAAGTGATTACATCACAAGATACAGTTGCTAGTGTTTAATGATTTATGTGATAGACTATGTTCATCTGCTTCTTGGTCCTTCCAATTACACACATATTTTCTGTGAACAAAGTCTCAGACTTTATAGTACCAAAGCCTTAGGAAATTTATAGAAAGCGTAACCAGCCTAAAAAAGAGCACTCTGGTCAACCTGAAAATTCTCTTGGATCTGTTGATCTGGAATATGAAAACAAATCTCCAACCTCTGAAATATTCTGCCTGAAGTCAGGGAAAGATATCACAATTCTGAAATTAGGAGTACTTCACAATGTACATCGTTGTACTATCTACCAAGGCTCTTTCATCATACTAGTTCAATAATGTTTTAGATTAGTTTCATTATTTGTTTGTGAAAAACTGATTGAAAAATCACTGAATAACCTACAAATACACTTTACCTTATGGCTTATTTTACTTGGTTTCACTGAATGAAACGTATTTACCTGAGTCCCAGAAAGGAATCACAAGTAGCAATGATGAGATGAAAAACTAAGACACACAAATGTTAAATGAAAGTAATCCTTGTGTAGAATTAGAGTTTATTACACACAGTTATTCTACTCTCACCTGCAGGAAAGCAGGTGTTTAGGTCAACAGCCTAATTTTGTACAAAACCTCATTTTTGATTGTTTGATACAAGCAAAATGCCAGTAACTAATGAGACAACTTTCATTTAGAAAGCTACTGGAATAATGCACTCTAATTAAGTTTGCTGCTAACTCTTCAAACATAGTTCATTTAAAAGACCATTATTTAGATTCCGTAGAGGAAGAAGGATTCCATCTACTTAGTCCAACAATTTCGGACAAATGCAGTACACACTTTCAGGCTCAGATTACACTGTTAAGCTAGTAAAGCTTATATATAAACCATAAGCACTCCAGAATCACCACTTAATTCTGGCACATTTCAAATAAAACTACTGTTGATTTTTTCTCTGGAGTGAAAAAATTCGTCATGTTCCAAAGTTTTCTTGAAACGTTCACAGAAGTGGCATGAAGTGGCAGAAAAGCAGTTAAGATGCAACTCCATCTCTGCAGAGCACTCAGCTACCACTGCAGGCATGGTCCCACCTCTCCCTGTCACCATGTTCTGGTCACCCGAGTACTAGTGCAGAAGCTCACTGGGGTGATCAGCAAGCTGGTCCCTCTGAAAACTAACCCAGAGAAGAATACAGGTGAAGAATCAGAACACACTGATCTTTTCCTTCATGCAGTTCAGGACACCAGTGCCAATGACAGAAGGTCAATGGGGACTCTGGGAGAGAGCACCACCTTCCCTTTGGGTACCAGCCTATGCCCTGTGTTAACTTAAGGAGGTCATCATAGAAGCATCATAGATTGGTCTGGGTTGGAAGACCCATCCAACCTGGCCTTGAGCACGTCCAGGGATGGGGCATCCACCACTTCTGTGGCCAATCTGTTCCAATGCTTCAGTAACGAATCTCTTCCTAATATCTAATCTAAACCTACTCTCAGTTTGAAGTGATTTCCCCTTGTTCTGTCACTCCAGGCCCTTGTAAATAGTTTCTCTCCAACTTTCTTTTAGGTTCCCTTCAGGTGCTGGAAGGCTGCAACTAGGTCACTCCAAAGCCTTCTCTTCTCCAGGCTTAACAATCCCAATTCTCTTAGCCCTTCCTTGTAGGAGAGGTGCTCCATCCCTCTAATCTTCTTGGTGACCCTCCTCCGGACTCCTCCGAGAGGTCAATGCTCTTCCTGTTCTGGAGATCACAGAGTTGGACACAGCACTCCAGGTCACAGAAGTGCAACCTGTGAGAGAAGTGCTTCTGGACGGTGCTACACATTTTAGCTCAAAGCATATCAGGGCTAAACTTAAGGATTGAGTTTTTAAATAGACGAAAATAAGTACTAAGGAAAATATTTCAGCACTATGGAAGATGACAGCATGCAGACACACTGCCTAATGACGGTGCTCTAAAAGCTACTCATATCGTGCTGAACAAATTATGAGACTTCAAATAAAAACAAACTGTATACATCTTTAACTGAACCTTCTTGTTTCTGTCAAAGTGTTTCTCTTTACAGAGGTATAAACGAATATAAAAGACTTTGACAAAAACATTTGTAGGGAAGATTAAAAGAAGACAATCGAAAAAGAATACCCTACACTTTTGTACCCAAATGGAGATGATAACCAAGACTTCTGAAATGTAGTACAAGTCCTTCGTTCAGGCTATGACAACTAAGAAAAACTTGCTAATTTTTAAGGACCATATTTTGGATTTATTTTGGCAGAAGGAAGCATACAGAAAGATATCTTGCTCATCTGGATAATTAAGAGTTGGCAAAAAACTAAAATATCCTTTATATTCCCCTATATTATCTCCTCATTAAGGTGACATTATTTTTTCTTTCTTTGTTAAAGGAATAATTAGAATTAATCATGCTCTTACCAACAGCACCGCTATTTTCATGTACAGAATTTCAAATATTGCACACACTTCAGTGTTTCCTCCATTAAAACGGAATTACTGTCAATCTTAAAAACGTGAATTGCATATTCATGTAAAAATATTCCTAAAAACTTTGCTACCGGTGATAGCAAGTTTTTAGGAATTATTCTCTTTTAAATCCACAATGGTTTGAATCAAGAAGAGGCAGGTCCCTTCCCTAGGCTGGATGGGGCTTTGAGTAAGCTGGTCTAGCAGAAGTGTTCTTGCCCATGGCAGGGGAGTTGGAACTAGATGATCCTTAAGGTTCCTTTCAACCTAAACCATTCTATAATCCATAAGACAGAAGTGGGAGGAAGGAAAGGAAGTCAAACTATGCTCCCTACTGTAACTCAGCGTTGTTTTCTTTCAGCACCTTTCCAAAACGCCCCTATAGCTTAGGATCTTTCAAGTGCCTACAGCACTGCTAAAAATGGGGCTTTACAGAGTAATGGCCAAAAGCTCACTTCAGCCTCTGGACCAAACCTCCCAAGGTTCTCTCTTTGTTCAGCAGGGAGCAGCTGGCTTTACTGAGGTGGGTTCAGAACACAAATCTAACATGAAGTGTGTTACCTGACAGATCAGCCAAAATGCTAAAGGTCAATGCTATAACCATTCCCAAGGATTCCCTTCACTGAAGCATTTCTTGGATGTTTTTGTGATATTGTGGAATCTGTACTTCCAGGTACACTAACTATGAATCATGAATACAGTATTCTGAAAAGTAATGAAACACTGAACCTCACAGAAGTATGAGGCTAAGCAACACTGGATGAAATTCCATGCAATAAAGACCCAAAAAACCCTGAAAGGTAGTAAAATAGCTTAATTCTTGCCCAAAAGTTAAGGGATTATGATAAATGAAGCATTCCAGAAAAGTGGAAATCAAGAAGAAAGAAACTTTAGAAATAGAAATCAGAATGTGAGTAAGCTGCAGAAAAAGGTTAAAAAAATTTTGATACAGAAAGACTGGAATGATTAGACAATCATATTGACAGAAAACCCAACTGATCTTTCTCTTTAGTAGTAAAATTTTTTCTTCATCTGTACAGAAGGATTACAAGTAATGTGCTACCAAATCTTCAGTACAAACAAACAGCTAATTTCTGAAATGGGATCATACAAATGTTTGGAGAAAACAGATTAGAAATACTGAATTACAATCTAAGATGGGTTCACTGAACGTGGCCAAGAACTCAGTCTACTTTGGCTTGCTAGTATTTTCAAATACCAAGATACAAATCCCCTAATGGCTGCTTACCAGTGTCTTCTACATGGCAAAAAAAAATCCCTTTCCTAGCTCTTGGAATACTTTTAGAAAAACACAGCTTTTCTGAGTTAACAAACAGTGACACTTAATCTTCATTAAATAACTGTATTCCTAATGATCCTGTGTTTTGTTTTGCAAACAGGCTATTGTCTCTTACAGGCTGTTCACTGAATGCAATTTAGAAGCAGATGAATAATATGCCAGGTCTAAGTATTGCATAAAGAAGTCTGACATAAAAAAATACTAATTTCAGTCAACTCTTTGACCTCCTTTTCTCAATAGAGGACCCTCATAAATGCAGTCAGGCGTTTGGTTTCCCCATATATACAAGACCCTGTGAATGATATCATACATTTATAGGTCATATGTGAGACTATTACAGTTGGGTATTACCTCCATTACACACACACACACACACAATCTAATGGAAAATATTATCTTTGTATCCCAACACAACAAAAATAACAGTTCACTGAACTACACAGAGAGGAGTTCTCAGTTCTCTCGGTCAGTGGAAATCACAGATTTACCACAAGAGCCATGACTAGTCTTTGCTAGAAGATGCCAATTTTTCTTTTGACACCCTCTACCACTTGAGCTCTAATTTGGCATTCAGAGTGGTCTGAGAGGAAACCATTCCTCCCACATTAAAGGAAAAGATCATTAGCTGCTGCTGGCAATCATTAGCTGAGCTGGAATATGAGAGAAAACGGAAAAAAATGGAATTTGACAGCTCTGTTGTCCCACTAAATGTATTCACTATCTTTTTGCCTTTCTTTCAGTCCACACGATACAACCCCCTTCACGTCTCTTCACCAAATCAAAAATAAGCAGCCTTTCTGAGAACTGATGCCTTTCAGCATTCATTCCCTTTTTCTACACACCACAGGTGCTGCATTATAGATCGCTTTGCCCATGCTAGGCTTGAACAACATTTTCTCAAGCTGTTTGTCTAGCCCTTCCATGTACATGTGACAGACAACACAGGCAGAACCACTGACCTAATTGTATTAATTATTAATTTTTTTTCATAATCAAAAGCAAAAGATAATTTTGTATTGTTGACCCAATGAGTGAATGGACATGCATTTCCTGTCACTACCCTTGCAATTGTATTTTAGCCTTTGTGATCCATGGGTTCAAGACAAAGTAGAGGGGAGGAAAAAAAAGAACCAGTCCATTTGACAGATGAACCACACACGTTAAATCATCAGGAACCTACGATTTCGCAGTAACATCCACGAACTGCCCTGGGCGGAAGTGAGCAGCATACAACGGAGTACCTTCAAAAGAAGAGGAGAGATCATGTTCAGCTAAGTGCTGAAATCCTTAAATCGCTACCCAGCCATTATCATAGAGGGTAGATTACAGTCACAGCAAAGGAAAGCAAACTTATTCACGTATTATTTATTCTTCTTTATGAACCTCACTGACTGAGAGAGATGCTTTGTATTTATTCCTTAAGCACATTTCTCAGGTCCTAGCCCAATTTCAGATGAATAGGAAGGCCAGGCCAGGGCTTTACTGAGATACATTGTACTTCATACACCCAAAGAGACAACGCCCAAAATGCCTAATTAGTTAAGATTCATAATAAACACGCTTAGCAAGAAAACAGAACATGCTATACTTAGAACTACTAGAACTTTACAAGGCGGAGGGTTTTTAAAAAAACAAAAACCAACAAAGAAAACCCACTTACTATAAAAAATGTGGTAAAGAATAATTAAAAATAAAAATAAAAAGACAGTTTTGCAATGCTTCCTCTTTATTAAGACGCAGTGTTTCCAAACTAAAGACTGTGGCAGAAGTACAGCCCCATCCACTGAGGGATTACCTCTACACTAACCTTTAGCAGAAGTAGTGCTACTGTAGTCGGTGATACCACTCACCTCACTGTAATTACACTAATTCCTTAAATACCTGCAGTAGCAAAATATTACTTTTAGATTTATTTTGTCTTAAGTGATTTTTTTTATCCAAGTGCAATATTCTTTTATTAGCAGCTTAAAAAAAACCCACAACAAACCAGAACTAATAACTTTAATATTTGAACTTTGCAGTTCATTATACACCTATATAGAGCTATATCGCTGCATATTTCACAGTTTCCAGTCTGTTTTACATGCATTAAAAAAGTGAAATTCTAATTGCTCCATGTCCACACCCTTTCTCCTGCTTTTTCAAATCTGTGTGAATGCAAACTGAAATGATGTAAACCTCTTACAAATCTCAAGCATAAAAATCCTCATATTATGTCAGGTTATGTTTATATAATCCAAATACGCCTGGAATAAGATGCCTATGAACTGACACAAAATCATGCACATAGAGGATGTTATGTACAAAATACATGCACTGCAAGACCAGTTTATTGAAAACCTGCAATTCTGCTTTATCTCAAGCTTTTCCTTCCATTTAGCAGTCCAAACTTCCTCTTTGTGTCAGATTTGAATTTTATCAGTTACCACAGTGTCTTAAAATGGTCTTACAAAAAGCTTCACTAATGGCAAGGAAATACATAATATATTAGAATTTCCAACCCTATATAATTCTTCAGAAAATACCTATAATCGTCAAAAGTGAAAGCAACTTAAATGCACTACCTAATAAAACCTTAGAAACTTAAAAACTTTTTGTTAGATCTCCAAACTCCTAATACTGATTTTTAGTGAGAATATTTGTTACAAACACATTTTAGTGTGCTTTAATTTGCAGGCTGTTAAACAAAACACCCTAAATGACAGCCATCAGTCCTATTTCTGAATGCAGCAAGAAGAAGAAAACCTCAAACTGCTATTTTAGGCTCCTGAGAAACATTACCACAAAATTCTGTGTCCCTCTCATAAGGATAAACAGAGAACTTCCCATAACTGTATTCCTATTTATTCCCAGCCAGTGAATCAAGGTTACAGACTTACTTCTTAATTCAACATTCGTATTAGTAAGTTTGGATTAGACTTACTTCCTAATCAATCGAAACACAGTACTCCAGAAAAAGGAAAAATCCTACTTCTCATCAACTAAAAAAATAAATTTCTAATTTTGTCTAGGAAAAAAAATGTATGCCTCTACTTAATGACAAAGAATAATTCAGCAACTTCCATATGAAACAAAAATTAAATACATGTCATAACTTTGTTTAGGTCTACAAGTGGCAGATGTTAAATGATTATGCATGTAATAATCAGCAGCTCAAAAAATTACCTGGCTTAATTATGGCATCATCTGTTACTTTAAATGTTGTAACTTTCTGCTTTCGTGGTACTCCAGCTTCTTTAAAAATCTGATGTGCAGATTCTGGTTTCTGTAACAAAAAGCAGCCGTAAAAAAGAAGTGATCTTAAAATACCCAAGGATCAACCTAGCACAGAAAACGATTACAGACTGTCAACACCACTCAGAGGAACAGATATATCACACTAAAATTTTATCTTGAGACTAGCATTTTATCTCTATATAAAATTTATTTAAAACTCCCGTCTCTGCATTTTATTTTCTGCCAACTAGTTACCCAACAGCTACATCATATAAACAAGATAAGTATGAAGATTTCTAAGACGAGAATCATTTAGAATAGAAATAAAAGATACTGCTGTTTTTTTCATGGTTTACAAAGAGGTTTGTAATATTTTAAAAACATGTTCTCTTTTTCAAAGCTACTGATGACTTAGTTCCACACCACCATAAATACAATTTATTTGATTTCACTAAGAAAACAATAGAAACAAAGTCTCATCTTGCAGAAACTTCTCAAATGGTTTAACTTTTCCACAGAACAGAATTTTGAGTCTCTAGACAAAAAAAGAAAAATTAAGAACAACAATTTTATAATTCATGTATTTTTAAGATATACCAAGTACACTCAGGGTCAAATCACTGCTGACTTACTAAAGCAGGATCTTCTTTTCAGAGGAGTCTGACAAATTTAAAAGCCCTTAAAATTATTCTCAGCTGTTTCAAACAAGACAACTCACAGAACTGCTGACCACAAGATGAAACCAAGCAACAGAAACAGTAATGCAGGAAAACTGTAGCCATTGGAAAAAAGGAATGCCACTTAATTTTTCTTCAAATGACTTCTCCTGGAAAGCAATTTAAGCATCTAACAATACTGTCACACTAGGATAGTCACATCTCTGAGGTTCACTTCTCAAAACTTCTGTGCAGTTCTCTCTCCCAAAATTATTTTCTGTGTTTTAAGACAAAATAACGTGGATAACTTAAAAAGGGCAATATAGTTTATTTGAACTTTGAATTTGCATGATGCCCTTTCTTTTTCAAAAATTTGATAAGAAGTGTTAGAACAAGAAAGTAAGTTTTATGAAGAGTGACGAAGCAAGATGATGAGGATTTCTTAGGAAAAAAATCCAGCAATTTTAAGTGTTAAAAATCTGTATTTGTTTGAGGAGAAAGTGTGGATACAAAGTCTTTCAGAGTGAAAAGTTTTTTCCAAGTGATTTGTTAACTTGAGTTCACAGTACGAAACGCTTCAAATACCTTTCGAAAAAAAATCAGCTACAAACAAAATCTCCCCTAAGACCACGAATATTTGAGGTATCAATGGAGGACAACTGTATTAATCTGCAGGACCATATGTGAGAATTAAAAGTAAAGATATGGCCTTTCTACGAAGTGCCTGTATATCAATCCTTTACTTTCACTGTTATGTAAAACTGCTGCCTTAAGCTACAGCAAAGGGAGCTCTGTGCTCAACATGGGTGCCTGGAAAGAGCTACCACAGCTGAAGAAATGCACAGTGAAGCCAAAGGGTAAAATTCGCTGATAACTCAAGTCCTTCTCAGGGCTGTAGCCTTGCACTGCTCTACTGCCACAACAGTCGAGTCACAGAGATGTATTTTTACAATCTAAACACTGTAGTCTTTACAAAGCCTTCCTAAAAAAGCAATATTGAGTGAATTCTCAGATGTTCTAAACTTTTAAATAAAACACCAACGACATCTTCCAGTATGATGGGAAAATGATCGATATGCCCTCACTTATGGGAAGCATATAAAATATTTTTGACCAAAAAAATGTTAGAATTGTACTTTTGAGAGAATGTACTTTTGAGAACAGTTTGCATTAAAAAATCATGAAAAATCTCTTCACTTGTAACAGAGTGACATACATCAAGCTAAAAAGGAAACAAAAAATCTTGCTAAAAATGCAATATTCCTTATCAGCTTTTAAGCAATTTGACACTCAAAAGAAATATGGAGAACTCTTCTTCAGTAAAATTACTGAGGGAATCTTTTGTTTGAACTCATTAAAAATCAGTAGCTGTGAGGAATCTGAGGAAGACAGATGTTCCTATCTTCCTATCAGAAGATAAATTGCTTATGCTAATACAATACAGTATCATTTACCCTTCTTTTAATTCTCACTTTAGACACTTCAAAGAGAAAAGAAACACATAAAAAGGCTGATAAACATAGCAGAGCAATAATTCAAACCTGCAGCTAAACCACAGAAGTACATCATTTGTTAGTACCTTAACAAGTAAAATTGCTCAGAATCAGCATGCCAAATTCTTCCTTAGGAATTATCTAGTTTATACTATGACAATGATGATAACAACAACAGTAATACAGAGCTCCGTATAATCATAATACACAGTTCAGTCTCAGGTCAGGTCCTCACCACAGATTGGTCTAAGGATATTTAATTTATTTTTTATTAAAATTAACCTAAGTTCAACCAAATTAATAGAAGCTAATTTGGAAAAAGTTATGCCCAGAGAGAGTCATTAACACAACTCAGACTACTAAAAAGCCGTTGAGTTGACCTTTCAGGTAGTTCATCTTTGAAGAAATGTTCTTAGTTCACAGGAGCTATTTAAACAGAAATTTTCTTTATACCTCCTTACTTCCCACACGTTATTACTCTGACAACATACTGAATTACTGGTAACATCATCTGCATGAGAAGATCAACTGTAAGGAGTCTAACGAGCAAAATACAACTTGAAAATTTTTATTCACATGGTTCTTGCACGTCTTAGACCAAAGGAACAGGAAAATAAAAACAGAGCTGTCATTTTTCCAGGAAAAATGTTACACCTGGAAAGTGGAAATGGACTAAAGTGACAGGGCAGACACCTGAAACTACCATGGTGAAACATGGCATAAAGCCACTGAATACCAGAAAGGTACCTTAAAGTATCAGCCTGCTCAAAGTCAGGAGAATATACTGTAAGGTTTAGCAAATGAAAAAACTCCTTCTTCCCTCACCTCTGGTAAAGCAGAAACAAGTACACAGATTAATTTTGAGGCTCTGGGACAACTGTCACTTTAAAAAGGTGAAATCTTTTGTCCTCAAAAAGCCACAATCAGCTGAGATAATCTGCTTAGTGGTCACGAGCCCTGGATTTTTTTTACTTGACTAAATCAGACAAATGAGTGTCAAGACACTGCAAGAAGTGAAAAATGGTATTTTACAGAAATAATGGATCACAGAAATTGCAATCCTTTGACAGAAAGCTTTGTTCCTACCTTGATCTATAATTCCTCAGAAATGACAGCTCTGCTAGACAGCCTTAACCATTGAAGATATCTGGGAATTCCACACCAGGCAACTGGGGTGTCTAAAATGAGTGAGTGGTTTTGATGCAGCTGTTGATGAACTATAACCATAAGCTATCTTCTTGAAAATTTAAAGTCTTAAACTTACTATAAGTAAGTTCTTGCTATTCTCTTAACCAAGAATTTACATCAGCATTAGGAAATAAACAAGGTGAATGTGACAAAAGATCTGTTCCAAAGCACAGGTGTCTGTCAGTCTTTCAGAGAAGTCCAGCTATGCTACTTTCATATTGCAAGGGCAACAAACAATTCTAAAAGTAACTCCCAAAGTGGTTCACTTACAGAAAAAGGTGATACGTTTTTGCCTCCAACAAGCAGCTGAGCTGTTTTTCCACCCGACTCTTCCTTTGAAACATATTTTAAAACATGACAATCTTGCACCTTAAGAAAAGGAAAAGTGTTCGTTTGAGTATAAGCAGATGTGTGTGCTTTAAGACCATAGTAAGAGGTTATCAAAACAACTGAAATTACATGAGTCTCTGTTTTCATAACAGGAGATACAGTTTATAAGTAGTAAACTGTAGTGTTTGTTACATTTTTACTGTAGACATTCTTTTTCCAAACAACAAATACTGATTTTAGGAAAAAAATATTAGTAGAAAGCTAACTATTTTCATAAATGTTCTAGAAATCAAATAATCTTTAATAGTCGTCTTTTGCATGCAATATCTGCAAAATCCCTTCTGTGAGCTTGCAAAGCATACAGTGAGAGCCCACAGTTTAGACTCCTGCTCTTTTGCCCTGCAAACATGATGTCCTTCACGGCACTGGTTCATCACAAGGCAGCAACACGTGAGCAAAAGGCTTCATCGCAATAGTAGCTGCCAGAGAATATGAAGAAGCAGCTTCAGGGCTACAAAGGCTCAGAAGCCAAGGTGAAACTAATCCCAAAGTACCTGCAGATAGCAAAATTTAAAGAAGTTAAGTGGGGTACTTAACCACAGCTTTATACTGCCTCACCTAAGTAACACTGCTCACAGCTCTGCAGCACCTGAGTAGCTGAGGCAGAAGGCAGACTGCTCCGAGAAAGTTCGGGATATAAACAGAGTGTACTACCCACGATCAAAAGAAGCCTTTCATTTCTTCCAGGATTTCCTACTCTGTACAAGTAATAACTTTCACTTTTGACTGAAATGTCTGGCTAATGATCTGAATACAGGACAGGAGATGAAATTCATTATGATTTATTTCACCTTAAGTAGTGTGACAGCATGTTTTTTTCCTGACTTGGTCCATATTGGCATCATTCCCAGTTTTACTGCAACAACACCAACTCTGACGGAATCTGTAGATCAAAACAGAACAGGAATGCAACTCCTTACTTAATCTTTGAAAGAGTTAATTTCATAACTTTCAAAATCCCATTCGTTAACTCTGATCTTTCCTAAGGAGGTGAAGGAGAGAAAACTTCACTGACTCCCTGTGAGTAGGCTGGGAATAACCTGTTAATTGTTTTCAATACCACTAGCAGTGAAGTTCTATCTGTTCCAGTTGTGTTTGATAAAACATGCAACCACTTCCCCATTAAAACAAGCAATGCTTCAGACTCTCTTTAATTTCAAAAATACAAACACCCATGTATTAGAGTCAAACTAACTATTGAAAAGTTTACTCTAAGACTTTCCTCCCACCCAGTCTTTGCAAACCTGTACAGCAAAGACAACCTGCCAAGTCTGCCACCCAAATGATGTGACCCTTTTGGAGGCTCAAAAAAAACTTAACACTGTGTTCTAGACCATAAAACTTTGTAATCACAGAAGTGGGGTGCATTTTTCTTCAGAGTCCAGCAGTATTTACAAGAACTTTTTCAAGTTCATCTGCTTTATATTCTAAGGAGTCTTTTTTGACTAACTTTTACTTCCTTATCTTGTCATTGTACAGCAGTCAGATAGGCCAAGTGCTGATCTGGACTGAAAACTAAGAGTTCTTCTTAAAGGGTTCTTAACACTGCATAGTATTTTGAATGCTCATTAGAGAACTGATGTATTACATTTACTTATTTACTAAATGTATTGAATGATTGACGTAAAAGCAAAACAGAGAATACTTTATAAGGTACAATCCTGATGTTACTGAACGTAACAACACAACAACAGCACGAGTTTGGTCTTTCAAAAGAGATACTTTCTCACCTGGTGTCCACTCATTCAGTGGCCATGGCTCATCTTTCAGAGGGCAGAGCTTGCTGGCTGTTTGAGCTTTGTATTCCTCTGTAGTTAGCTTCTTCAGGAACTCCACATTCTCTTCAGAAAGATGCTCGTGCCACCACGTTGCACTATTAGTGTGCCTGACTAGCAAGCCCAGCTGTCCCCTTTCCAGTGGCGGGAAAGAAGTTTTAAGTGTCTTATCAGTTCAAATAATGTCTTGTGACACGTACGTTTGCAATGCAATGGATAATACAAATCACTGCATGACAAAGCATACGGTCATAAAGACCAAAATCACACTAATGAGGTAATCAACCACCATCACTCAAACCGGCCACTAGTGACCAAAACCACCCAATTATTTGTCATGTTCTCATCTAACTTTTGAAGTATTCTAAAGTGCCACAAACTGCAGCAAGCAATAACAAAAAACCAAGCACCCCTTATGATAAAAAAAAGTTAGATTCATCAATAGCAGTGATAGCAGTGGGTATCTTTCACTTTAGCAAGGCTTTCTAACACCATCTCCTATGGCATCTTTCTATCCAAGGTGGGATGTTATGGCATGGATGGGTGGACTATCAGATGGGCAAACATCTGGCTGGATCAGCTGACTGAAAGAGCCATGGCTAGTGGTTTGGACTCTATTAGAAGGCCAGTTACAAACAGAGTTCCTCAAGTGTCTATTCAGGGATTTGTCCTGTTTAATATCTTTATCCCCTCTTACCTGTAAGAGGGGATGAGTGTACCCTTCTCAAGTTTGAAGGGAGCAGTGGATGATGCTCAAGGGTGTTCCTCTGCCAGTGGGAGGGACAAGCCAAAAAGTAACCCAACGAAATTCATAAAGGAGAAATGCACAGTCCCATCCACAACTGGGATGGAATAACCTTTTGTGAGAGTACAGGCTGTGACTTCAGCAGAGCTGCTCCCCAGTCGGGTCAAGGACCTGGGAGGTCCTGGGGACAAAAACATAAACAAGGAGCTAGCAGGCTAGCTATGAAGACTAACAACAGCCTGGACTTTATGAACAGAAGCACAACCAGGAGATCAAGGCAAGCACTTGTCCTTTCCTCAGCACTCCAAATAGACCACATCTGCAATAGTAAATCCAGTTTCAGGTCCCCAGTACCAAAGGCATGTTCAAAAATGAGTGAATCCAGCTGTGGTATGCAAAAATACCAGGGGCTGGAGCACCTGCCCTACCAGAAGGAGTGAGGTAAGTGGGTTTGGTTTAGTCTGGAGAAGAGGTGGCCTAGGGCAGACCTGACAGCAGCTTTCCAGTTCCTGTGAGCAAGTTACTGACAAGACAGAATCAGGTGATATTTACTGAGGTGCATGCAGAAGAATGAGAGAAGGGGTATAAACTGAAAAGGAAGATTCTGATTTGACATACGGAAAAAACGTTTTGCCTGAAGACAATCAAACGCTGGTACAGGGGCTCAGACACACTGTGTAGCCTCTGTCCTTAGAGGCCCTCAAGGCCCAAAAAGACAAAGACCTAGGCAACACGGCCTAACCTCAGAGTTGGTTCTACACTCACCGCTAAACAGCTCAGTGTCCTGTCATAATTTCTGTGAGGCCTCAGAAAAGCTGGAATGCCCCCCAGCTCTCTGCCCGGACAGCGAGGAGGGGAGTGTTTAGCAACACAAGCAGTGACCGCACGTGGCCAGGCCAGGGCGACCCAAAACACAGCAGGTCAGGTCGCTCACTGTGCAGCAGAGATGCTCTGGATGCAAACACGCCTGTCCTGGCAGAACTACCACACGTGTTGGGGGTATTTCTAAGGCTGGGGGGCCCCAGCAGAAACCCGGGGCACCACCACCCCTGCGCTCGCAAAGCAGTGCCAGCAGGCTGCACAAAGAGGCCTCTCCGAAGACTCCACCAAGGGCAAAGGGCCGCCGAGGAGCCCCTCTCCTCCGGGCTGCGATAGGAGCCCAGCCACGCTCACCCCCCCGGTCTTCCCGCCGCCCCCGCCCCGCGCCTCGCCTCCGCAGGAGCCCCTTCCCCTGCCAGCCCTGCCGCTACCTGTGGCCGGGAGCCCTCGGCGCCGCCGCGGCCGCCCAGAGCCGCCCGCCGAGCCGCGCCAGCCTCCCCCAGCCCGCCATGCCGACACCGGAGCGGGGCCGCCGCCGCCTTCCGCGTCCGCCGCTGAAAACCTTCCGTGCGGCCCCGGGCAGAAGGTTCCGGGGAGCTCCGGGGCTGACAAAAAAAAAAAAAAAACCAAAACCCAAACTCCCGAAACAGCCCAAAGTCGTAATCGTGCGTCGTTCTCTCTCCCGCGCGGCTGGCACCGGCGGCTTCCCAGCCGGGATGCAGCACCCGTGGGCCCATGGGGCTGTTCTCACCCGGAGGGAACACCTCGCCCTAGGGGGGTGATGGATGAAGACATGCACAAGTAGCCATAGGCACTCTTTGCCCCCCCACCCAAACCCTTCCATCCCTTCCATAGCTCCTGTGCCTGAGTTCCTGCGGCGAGCCACTGAAATCCAGCAAATAGGTGTCAATAAGAGGAAAGTGCCAGCCGCAGATGGAGTTTTAGCACTGGCGAGCTCCACTTAGCCACACAAGGTTGCAGGAACGTGGACTCAAAACCTTCCTCCATTACACGGGTGTTGAGCAGATGCTGGGAGGGGGGGATGTCTGGGAAGAGGCATCTCTGCTTTGTCAAATATCTATGAGGTATGGAGCTCAGCAGCTTCATGTCTTTTCTCCCAGGTAACAAGTGACAGGACAAGATGAAACGGGCCTCAGATTGTGCCAGGGGAAGTTTAGGTTGGATACTGGGAAAAATTTCTTCGTGCAAAGGGTGGTAAAGCCTGCCTAGAGAAGTGGTGGAATCACTATCCCTGGAAGTGTTCAGAAGCCATGTGGATGTGGCATTTAAAGACATGGTTTAGTGGTGGACCTTGCAGTGCTGGGTTAACTCGATGATGCTGGAGGTCTTTCCCAACCTTAATGATTCTCTGACTCTGTGATTCTCAGTGCTCCATGCGAGTTGAGGCCACATAAGGGGGGAGGGCCACATTTACAGGAAGTAAATTTCATATTGTAGCCCGCAAAAGTTCCTGATAAAGTTAAAGTGGGTGGGTCAGGCAGCAGGTTTCTGGGCAGCCTGGCACAGCGATGGTACCTCTGACATTCTGGCTGGTAGGGTAGTGAAGGGTTATGAACACAAGGTGCCCTTTCAGTTTCAGTAGAAGTGTCTTTTTTTAAAGACACATGAGCGTTCAGCTGACATCTCTCATGGCTTCTCTTTACCCTCCCTCTTCTCCCCCACTGTGCTCTGTGTGTGTGTGTGCGTTGCACCTGAGGCATGTGGCCAGCTAGCCAGATCGTTACAGAGGCTGTGTGCACCTCTGAGTGGTTAACTGAGCAGAATTTTGCTGTTCATACCCAAAAATATGATCCAGAAAACTACCAGCAGCCTACATAAACATCCCTTGTCCCATGTTTATTTCTTGTCCTTTTAAGACATAAACACATAGTGTGTTCAGAAATGCATCTCCCAAGTTCACAGTTTAATGGATATTTCCTCTCTGAAGTTGTCATCTCTACTATCACAATGATCACTGCATCTTTTTACTCTCTCCTTGAGATTAAGAACAGAACAGGGAGGTTGCAGATGTGTTTTCTAATGGGATCCATCAGTAGCTTATGCTGCCGCTCTGTATCAGGGGGAAGAATGAACCTAAAAATGATAAAAGTGTTAACTCCCAATTTCTAAGCACCGTGACAACCTACAACAGTGCTCACCCTACCAAAGTCCCCAGGAAGTAGCAAAATGCTATTTGCTTCCATTTTAAAGACGTGGAACCAAGGCACACAGCAAGATTAAGTGATTTGCCAAGCCGGGATGGATGTTCCCAGCCAGA